TGTTATTAATTATTATAATTAAACTCGTCAGCATACTCATAATCAATTAATCATACTGTACAAATACTGTTGGATATGGTTGAACCAAATGAAATGAATCTGGCACGTTTAATTTTGTCAAACCAAAAATTTAATGAAGGGATTACGGGGTCCTTTGGTAGTTGTGATTGCTAGAGTTATGTTTACTGGATACATGCATTGTGCACAATACAATGTTTGGAAGTGCTAAGGTGTAAAATAATGCATGTATTGTTTTAGGTAGGTCCCACAAACAATTACAAAACATGATCCATTGTACAATCTCAACTAAAAGTTGTGATTGTTGATTTTAGATTTGTGTCCACTTTTTCTTTCCATTTATATCCCTATTAGTTTTTGTCTTATACTAAAAGTTGAGGATAAATGTGACATTTCTCCATAAAGTAACTTTATGCAAGTCAATACATAAAGTATAATCTCAACAATCAAACAATATATTATTAAAATGCATCTATTATATCAATACATGTATTTATTTTGTTGTGATTCATTACAATCCAACGATTTAACATTCGAAACTTCGGTTTGCTGGAAATTAATCAATGCATAGGTTTGGACTTTGCTATGATGACTTGCAAGTCACCGTAACTTGCACTTTTCAGTTGACCTTAGTTAGCATTAGGTCGACCTGATATGTTGTTTTAGTGTAAGAACAGTTTCATGGTGCATACTTTGGAGATTCATATCTTACAATTGGCTCAATGCAAATTGGAGATTAATGGCTTGTTTTGAAGATGGAGTGTCCCTCTACACATTGAAGTACTTGGGAGCTCGATAGGAAGTCCAGAAGACCATTTTTTAACCTGATAAAAAAACTATGCCAAAACTGGGAAACTGCTTAAAATAAGTCTGAGAACGTGTTTGTGAAGCCTACTTTGGAGCTCAATTCGAGAACTATGGATGATATTCGAGTCCAGGGGACTCTACCACGTGAAAGTAGGTATGTTTTTCTACAAAGGCAAGGTATTGGATGAAAAGATTGGATATCTGGAAGGCTTCAAACAAAAGGCTTCGAAGCTGCTCGACCGAAAAATGCAAGTTACGGTGACTTGCAAGGCACCATAGGCGCACCCCAAAGGTTTATACCAACGTTTCATTTGAAATTAATGAACATATACATCCTTAGCTAAATGGAACTGCCAACCTTGAACCAATTTATTGCTTCTGTTATGAAGTATATTGTTTCGTAATCTATAAATTGATGGAATCGGCTGGTAAGAGAGACACACCAAAAACCATTCTTGTTCTTCCTGCTAAAATTCGAAATATGCTTTAGAGTTCTTAAGCCTGGAACCTAAAGTGGTGATAGTTTTATCCTACGAAGAAAGTTACGATTCTGTTATAATCCTAGTCACCCGTCTTGGGCTTTGTACGTATACCCTCGTCACAAACGTCTCATCAATGTATGTAGATGATATGCTTATCTTTGGGACCAATCAAATATAAGTGGCCTTTATAAAAAGGTTTTTTTCATATGAAATTTCCCATGTGGGACATGGGAGACATTGTTGGAACTTTTGGGGCGAGGGTACACGTACGATAGCCCGAGATCAGGTGACTTGGATTATAATAGAGTCGTGAACTCCATTCACTTTCCGTATAAAATATTTCCATCCTCTACAAAGCCTTGAGTTACAGGAAATTTCTTCGTAAGATAAAACTATCACCACTTTAGGTTCCAGGCTTAAGACCCTAAAGCATACCTAGAAGTGTCATAGGAAGAAGAATGAATTTCGGTGTGTTCGTCCCATTTGCATGTGCACTACCTCATTGTTATAGAGGCTGGACGAATACACTGCTTCATATTTATATTGATGATTACTAGCCCTATCAGCATATCATAGGGGTCACGGTAAGGTAGTCACCCCCCTCGGCACATAATGAGAGTGGCAGTATAGTGGCCATACCCCTTGGCACTTTATGGGGTGGCATTATAATGGTCACCCCCCTCAACACTTCATGGGGGTGTCATTATGTGGTGGTATGGTGATCACCCCCTAAGCACATCGTGGAGGAGGCGGTATGTGCACCCCCCCCCCCCCCCCTCGGCACATCATGGGGATGGCGGTAAGTCGCTTACCCTCCTCACCACATCATGAGGGTGGCAGTATGGTGGCCACCCCCCTCAGCACTTCATGGGGGTGGCAGTATGGTGGTCGCCCCCCTCATTACATCATGAGGGTGATGGTATGTCGATCACCCGCTCACCACCTCATGGGGGTTATCCAAACACTTCGCCAAATCTTGAAGTAGATGGCTCGAGTGGCACATCATGGTATGAGGTTATGGGCCCAAAAACCCAATTCACGTGGCCCAGCTTAATTGATTTTAATTGTTATATTTAAATTGGCCTTATAAATCCATTTAATTCGTTGTATTTGACCGATGTGGTACAAATTTGATTTTTGGTGTAAACAAATGCCCCCAACTACTTTAATACATAAGAATTATGGACTAACTTGTTAACACCAATTACATCACTATTTTGTTAGGCTACTTCATTCCGATCGTTGGCTTAAAGTAAACCGAGAATACTTAGAGATATCTTATGTGTCCAAGGGTTTAGGGGGAGAAGCATTTATTTGCTTCTTTTTGGTCTTTTTTTTTTGCACCAAGAGGGGAAGGACGCCAAGAAGGAGAGAAATTACAGGGAGGTTAGGTGGGATGGGGGGAGAGAGAGATAGCGGCGGGAATAATTCGTCGCTCGAAACAAACTCCGGAAATGTCATCCTGAAGAATGAGAACTAGTCCTGGTGGCGGGTTGGCAAGCTCATGCATACCGTGAAGATAGATGAGACTATGCTTCGAGAGCCAGTCCGCGGCTCTATTACCTTCACGGTATGTATGGGTAATGCTTACCAGCCAGACAAGGCTAAGTTTCTTCCGAATTGCCGAGAGAAGAGTAGAGTAAGGGTGGACAGGGTCGTGCCTCTTCTGAAGAAGCTGGATGGCGAGTTGGGAGTCCGACTGCACGATGACGGCTCGGTAGCCCACCTTCCAAGCTAACTCGAGCCCATAGAAAATTGCCCATAACTCGGCGAGTGTTGCAGTCACCGACCCAATGCTGGCGGTGAAGTCTACGATCCAATTCCCCATCGTGTCTCGAAGAAGAACCCTAGCTCCGGCTGTCCCTGGGTTCCCACATGAAGCTCCATCAATGGTCATAGCAATCCATCCTTCCGAGGGATGCTTCAAGCCAATGTTGGCGGTGACCCGCTCTGTAGGTTGGCACTGAACCCCTGGGATAGGAGATGGGGCAGTCCAAGCTTCGTGCCAGAGTTTAGACTTGGCCATGATAGAGTGAGCAAGCGACGGAGGGGAAAGAGTTGCTTGCACTCCTCTGAATGAGGTAGTAAACCTGTTCTTCCAAAGTAGCTAGAGTGAAATACATAAGAAAGTTGCCCACGAAGGTCCCATGTTAGTAGGATCACCATTACCAATGTTCTCTCGCAACCAAACAGACTACTCCAAGCTGAAAAAGCGTCCCTAGTACTGCCCCGGAATCTGACGAGTCCAAAAGTATCGTGCCGGCGGCAATCTATGAGGATATGAATAATAGTCTATGGAGTTCCCTGGCATCTGGTGCAGAAAGGGTTGACCGCACATCTCTTAACATAATGCAGAGATTTCGTAGCGATCTTCCCCAAAAGAATCGTCCACATCAACGTCCTGATTGTACGTGGGCACCGGGCCGTGCCGCTCACCGGCTAGCACGACACAGCACGGTTAGAACACGGCACGAGCACGGACACGAAATAAATGGGCCAGCCCAGCACGAGCACGAATAATTTATGGGCCGTGCCGGGCCTAAACTTCATGGGCACGGGCACGGCACGGTATATAAGTGGGCCGTGTCGGGCCTAATATTTTCGAGACTTTCTTGAGTATAAGAACGACATGGCACAAAAATAATATTTATTTTATAAAAAATAAATATAAAAAGAATTATAGGTTCAAATATTACAAAACATAAGGAGAAAAATAATTATTTGTTGTTGTTAGAAATGTCATAAAGATATATATGTAATTACTAACATAAGTAAAAATGGACAAAGAATTAAACAAAGCCAAATCACACTCGCTATACTTTCAGTTTTCTTTCCCCCCTTATTTGTTACTTTTCTCAAACATTATCGGTTAATACTATCTTCGTCCATCCTATTTTCACCTTCTTTTTCATTATCTCTTTTGTTTTCGTCTTTTTCATTAAACACGAATACGAGCATGACACAAGCACGAATAGGCACGATTCGAACCGTGCCCGGGCCTGGGCCGGACCTAGCAAAGTTAACAAATGGGCTTGCATGGCACGACACGAAAACTGACGGGCTGTGCCAAGCACGGCACGAAATAAATGGGCCCGAAGCGTGCCCGTGCCGTGCCGGCCCAAGCACGGCCCAGCGCCCATGTACAGTCTGATCCTCTCGGGTGCCGGAAGACTCCAAATAGTCTTCCAAAATTTCTCATCCGAATCCTGCGCCTCTTGTTTTTGCATGTTGTAGGCTGATTTCGCAGAAAAATGACCATCCGCAGAAGCCGTCCAGAAGAGCTCGTCTTCCTCGCTTGATAACGCGTCGACCGCAATGGAAGTGATTTTGTGCTGAATCTCCGGCGGCAATAGCATGTTGAAAAGATTGGACCTCCACCTACCTTCCTGGTCCACGGAATCCGCTACCTTGGCCTCTACAAGCTCATCCGCGATTTGACTAAGCACAACCTCCTTGAGGGGTACCTGCAGACACCAAATATCATGCCAAAATTTAGTGTTCCGCCCATTCTTAATGTTCTACGCCAATGAAGTTAAAATTGTTCTTTAAAACTGAAAAACTTACGGTTTTACATTTCTAGGTCACCAAAACGCTTTCGTTTCTATGTAAAAACTTTAGTGTATAAATCAGACTAAATTGCGCTTTAAAGCTTAAAAACTTACGCTTTTACGCTTCTAGTTCACTAAAACGATTTACATTTTTACGCTTTTACTTCACTGAATGGGTATTCTTTTCATGAAATTAATTATAAAAAGTATATTTTAAAAATAAATCACTGACAATATGATAAGTTTAAGATTAAAAGATACATACCATATACTTTGATGCATTCTGAACTTCAATAAAGTAATCTAATTCACCGTCTAGGCTCTTCTCAAATTCATTAGCATGGAGGGGAAGGTGGCTTCTTGATACGATTTAGGTTTATGAACTTATTATTAAGAGGCTATAATTTGCTCTACTTTAGACATGAGATTCAAGTATTTATTAAGAGGCTATAATTTGCTATAATTTGCTCTTGATACGATTTAGGTTTGTGCACTCATATTTTTCATAGTATATGTCGTACTTAACATATTTTTAGTTCTTTTACAGTATGCGTAAAAAACTTACGCTTTTACGCTTTAATTCTACACTTTACGATCTTATCCCTTTTTCAATTCTAGGTAGAATCTTTCTTTTGACTGCATTGTTCCAAGCACAACCCTTCCCGAGAAGGTCGACGCTTTAGCAAAGCTCTTCCAGGTAAAGGAACTTCCCTGAATTGGTCTGAGGATGTCCAAGCTGTCCCTCTGTCTACCGTACTTCGCACGCATGACTCTGGACCACAGGCCATCTTTGTCTTTTATGAGCCGCCATCCATTCTTCGCTAGCATTTCTAAATTCGCCTGTCTGAGAGATCCAAGTCCTGCTCCTCCCTGACTCTTCGGGAAAGTCATCTTCTTCCAAGCCACCAAATGCATCTTGGGTTGATTCTCTTCATCCCCCCAGATGAAATCTCTATTGATCTTGTATATGCCTTTGCAAACTACACTCGGAATCAACTCAGTATTCATATGATAGACAGGAATAGAGGAAGTTACCGAACTGGCTACTGTGAGACGGCCAGCCAGCGATAGCATTCTACTTTTCCAAGGTGCCAATTTTTATGAATACGCAGCACCAGTCCTTGATATCTCGCCCTCGTGACCCGCCCGTGAATGGACTCGATGCCAAGATACTTCCCTAACTCTACTTTGAGAGGAATATCCGCTTTTTGGCTCAAGGCCACTGCCTTGGATCTGGGGATGTTCAGAGAGATATGCACCATAGACTTGTTGTAGTTGATCCTTTGGCCCGAGCTAAAGCAAAATTCATCCAGACAAGCATTGATGATCCTGATCTTCCTCGATTCAGCCTCCGCAAAGAGCAGAAGATCATCTACAAAAAAGAGATGCGTGCGAGGAGGTCCATTCTGAATAAGTTTCAAAGGCTTCCACCGCTTATTCAGGACCGCTCTATCAATCCCACAACCTGCGCCAAGACAAAAAGGTAAGGGGAGAAGGGATCTCCCTAGCGAACACTGCGGGTTGGGGTGATAACTGGAGAAAGGGACCCATTCCAAAGAACTCGCATGCGGTTGTGTTCCACACAGACATAATAAAGTTGATCCAGGAGCTTGGCAGCCCAACCTCCTTCAACGTATCTCGAAGAAAATCCCACCTAAGACTGTCATAGGCCTTCTCAAGGTCAATTTTGAAGATCATCCCTCCTTTCTTCCCCTTCTTCTACCTGAAAGAGTGCAGAATCTCCTGAACTGCGATAATATTATCAGTCGTCTGTCTCCCAGGAATGAAACTACTTTGACATGAAGATATCAGCTTCCTCATGACAGGTTTCAGCCGGTTGGTCATATCCTTAGTGATCGCCTTCAGACTGACTTTGTTTAGAGAGATAGGCCGAAGCTGCGTCACCGTCTCGGGTGTTTCCACTTTCGGGTTAAGAACTAAAGTAGATTCTAGGACAGCTTCTAGCAGAGAACCAGTGAAGAAGAGCAAGAAAACCATATCAGTCGGACTTCTCCCCACAGTTTGCCACAATTGCTGGTAGAAAGCTGCTTGATAGCCGTCGGGTCCGGGAGCTTGGTAGGGCTTCATATAAAATATGACTTTATGAATGTCCTGAATCGTGAACGGTCGGAGAGGCATTGCATCTCGGTCTGGCTTAAACGAGGAAAGGCGTGCATGGGCATTCTGTCCTCACAGAACATAATAAAGTTGATCCAGGAGCTTGGCAGCCCAACCTCCTTCAACGTGTCTCGAAGAAAATCCCACCTAAGACTGTCATATGCCTTCTCAAGGTCAATTTTGAAGATCATCCCTCCTTTCTTCCCCTTCTTCTTCCTGAAAGAGTGCAGAATCTCCTGAACTGCGATAATATTATCAGTCGTCTGTCTCCCAGGAATGAAACTACTTTGACATGAAGATATCAGCTTCCTCATGACCGGTTTCAGCCGGTTGGTCATATCCTTAGTGATCGCCTTCAGACTGACTTTGTTTAGAGAGATAGGGCGAAGCTGCGTCACCGTCTCAGGTGTTTCCACTTTCGGGTTAAGAACTAAAGTAGATTCTAGGACAGCTTCTGGTAGAGAACCGGTGAAGAAGAACAAGAAAACCATATCAGTCAGACTTCTCCCCACAGTTTGCCACAATTGCTGGTAGAAAGCAATAAACTCAAAGACTAAAGCAGCCAATAAAGTTGGATCATCTACCCATTCTCCATTGGAATCCTATAAAGTCTTAATCTTGTTGCGTCGTCTCTTGATGTTGGTCTGTTGATGGAAATAGGCAGTATTCCACTCCCCAAATTCGACCCACTTCTCCCTAGCCCATTGAAACCAAAGGATCTCCTCTTGCTCCAACACCTTGTCTAGCTCCGCCTCTAGCTTAGAGTGAAGCTTGGCTAGGCCAGAGGTGAACATGATGGTCAGCCTTGATTCCACCCCGCAAAGCCGCCCCAAAAGACGTCGTTTGTGTTGCTGAAAATTCCCAAACACGTCAGTGTTCCAGTCCTGAAGATTGGTGGCCAGCTCGTGAAGGGCATCAGGAAGCACTTTGTCTTGCCTCCATTGTCCTGTTACAAAATCCAAGAAATTAGTATGTGTAAACCACGCAGCTTCAAACCTAAAAGGGCGAGAGAGAGGGAGAGACAGAGAGATGTCAAATGCCCCTGAGTAGCAATTGTGGTAAGAATCGGATTGTGATCAGAGTTGAGGCGAGGAAGGTGAAGAACAACGGTATTGGGGAAGGCAGAATTCCACTCGAGATTGCAGAGACTCTTGTCGATACAGCTAGCTTTGCAGGTGCCATGTTGTGAGCCTCTAGTCCAGGTGAAGCACGGGCCAGCGAAGCTGAGATCAATTAGCTCAGCCTCGTTAATATGCTCGTTAAAACGATGGCAACGACAAATGGTAGACGCCGAGGCGGCCCCTGACTTCTCCTCCGAGGAACGGATAACATTGAAGTCTCCTGTCACGATCCACGGTTATTTATCTCTCGACTCTGAAAAATGAGCCTTTCCCATAGTTCCCTTTGCTCGCTTTGCCTGGGAGCGGCGTAGACCGTTGTGAGAATCCAAGGACTGGAATTAACTTGAGAAATGCGTAGAGAAAGATGCTGGTTACATGCGGAGATAATTTGGGCTGACAAAACACTGACATCTCAGAAGACCCAGATGCCCCCCATCCTACCATCAGCCTCCACTCGAATTATAATCGGGTAACCTAGCATGTCACAAATCGCATCTTCCGTATTTCTGCTAATCTGCGACTCGAGCAAAACAAGGAAATCAGGTCTATGAGTTAGGATTGTGAGTAGCGGGGGATCGGGCAAACGCTTTGCTCCCTGCTCTACCCATATTCCACGAGAGAATTTTAACATTATTGGAGACATACATAATAAAAGAGAAATAAAAGAACAAAAGAAGAGGGTAAAGGAAAGATCTCACCAAATCATGCTAACGGAGGTTGTTCCGTAGTGATTTCCGCCGCCAATGTAATGGTGGTTTCGTCCATAGGGGCAGCCTCCTCCACAATTGACAGCGGCTTGGTCTGGAGATTCGTCGTGCTTGTCCAAGCCTGAATATCCTGAAGGGTCAGCGATGCTAAGCGCGAGTTGGATTTGGATTCTTTTCTTTGACCCGATACCAAATCTGCAAGGGTTTGCAGGGATTCAATTTTATTGGCGAACTACGTTTGGCTCCGCTCTTGCTCGACTTGTTTTTTTCACCTTCGGACCTGTCGTCGCCGCCGCTGTTCCCCGATGTGAAGAAGTAGACGATTTGGACGGGGAGAGGCTGACCACCTGCATATTGGTCTCGTTGGCTCATTTCACGATCTGGATTGGTAGCGAAGATGGAGGACTGGCGTTAGTGGCCAGTTGGGCTCGAGGCCGAACACTGGAGTGGGCCAACAAAGGGCCGCTTGGGGATTGTCCTGCAATTTGCTGAGGGTTGGAGGATGTTGAGGCCCTATTGCCTTCTATCGTTGATTTTGGGCTCTTTGACCTAGAACTGATTCCTGGGCCTGGCCCAATAAACCCTTTGTCTGTTCAGCATCCGAAACTCCTATTTTCCCTTTTTCCTTCTTTACCTCCTCGTTACCTTTTCTAGGAAATAGAGACTCCTTTATTGTCAAGATTTGCTGGCCGTTGCAGGGAGGGGAACTTAGGGTTTGCGGGAGGATCCTGCCAGAGATTCTGGTAGGTTTTTCTGTCGTCTGCTCCAATGTCTGGGCATCGGCGATGCCAGCCGGACGATCATGGTGCACCGTCGGACATGTTTTTCCGATGTGGCCAATTTTTCCACATTCGAAACACAGAAGCGGAAGGTTTTCGTATTCCACCTTCTGCCACTCGTCATCGAGAAAGATCCTTGAAACCAGAGGTTTGGACATGTCGACCTCTACAGCAATCCGAGCAAATTTCGCTCGCTGTTGGTTTAGTTTATGATAGTCTAACTTGATCGTTCTACCAATTAGATTGCCTAAAGAGATTAGAACTTCCTTGTGGTAGAAATGGACCTTCAACGGCGGAAGCTGCACCCACACGATCATCTTCCAGGGACCATCCGTGCGAGCCTTAGCTTCACGAGAAAACAGTCGTGGTCCAAATCCATCACCTCCATAGATCCAAGAGGTCGCCATTGGGACCGAAAACGCGAGCAGAGGGTGTTGTAGCCAACTTTAATGCCCATTAAACGAACTACCAGAGCTCTTTGCCATGAGGCACATAGGCGACTCTTGAACATCGGAGAGACCTTAAGAGCAGGTTCTCCTAGATGCTCTCCTAGAATCAAATAGTGCTCCCCCACTGCGAGCCATTGCTTGGCGCAGGTTGTGGGATTGTCGACGACTTCACTCCGATCACCGTGCCGACGTATGTGAAAGGAAGTGGAGTCTTCTTGCCTGTAGATCCTTCGTTGTCTGAGATGGTGATCCTCTGAGTTCCTTCAGCGGTTGATGCCTTGACGACCGGCGACGCTATCAAAACTGCTGGAATAGCCAGAGATGGGGCGGTGTCCGACGGCCGCCCAGCTTGAGCTCTCGCCATAGGTGACGAGAGCATTTTCCTAGTTTACATACATGATAATTGTACTCTATATTTAGAGATTAATTCTAGCCTTCTTTCTTTTAATTACTCCAAGCATGACTTCCCTTCTCCCTAAAAGAATGCGGATGAGATAATTAAATAACCAAACATTGATTATGGCTAGAACGGTACATCACTCGTGGCTTTGCTAGCCAACAATCACACAACCACTATTTTTTTTAAATACTAAAACATAGCAACCTTTCTTCATTGCCATCTCAGCCAATAATTAGAAAACCTATAAAATAATTTTTTTAAACAACTAAATTGGGGCCAGGCCCGTTGGCCGGATGAAAGCGAAAATTTAACAGTTTCAATTGTTCCATACTATTAATATTGAGAAATTTAAATATTTTTTCATCTTAGTAATATATTAAATTTAAACGAATATACATATTTTAATTTATCAATACCTTGCTAGTAATTTTGATTAGTTATCTTAACTTTCTATGTCTAATATAATGAATACTATCAATATCATGATGATATACTCATTTGAAATAAGGGATGATCATTGACGTGTTTCATTCAAAAATATTAGTAAAAATTCACTAAAAATCAAGAATATATATTGTCTTTATTCAAAATAAAACAAAAGCTTATTAGTATTTTTTTGTACACATATGTGATATATAGGCAAAAGCTAGCGTACACCTGGAGTACGCTATATGCATGCCTCATATACATTATTGTATTTTGTACTTTGTTGATTTTAATGAATTAGAATAGTTTATTTTATTTTAATATTAAATGAATCTTAAGGTTTGGGTTAGAGAATTGGGGAATGAACTTCACCCATTAGAGATTAGAGTATAGTATCATGTCTCAAACTCCGGTTAATTAGACTAAATAAATAAAAAAAACTCAATGGGTGTACAGTAAGGTAATCGTATGCATGTCGCACGCTAGAGTGAACTGTGATGTATTATTCTTGGTTAATTTGTTATATTATTATATTTTCTACGTGGGTAGCCAAGTAATGATAAAAAAATATAGCTTTTTAGTCTTATATGATCGTATGCATGTTCAAACTCAATGTACAATGAATATTTTTTGGATGTACTTCGTTTATTCAAGTTTTTCTTGACTCCATGATTGATGATTTTTAATCTCCAACACATAACATTGCTCATGACATATCCTTTATGTATAAGAAATTTGCATTGCTCATTCAAAACAATTTATCTTAAAAAAGATCTATTGGTTGAGATTGAATACACATATTTAAATACTATTTTTTTCTCTATCCCATTCAAACGGTCGGACCGTTTGTTGTTGAGGTATACATATATGAGTTGGGTGGCATTTTACCGTTTTAACTATTCAATCCATATAACTCTATTTGGATAATAGATTAATATTAATTAATTAATTTTTGATATTAATTCCCAAACCTCTGTGAAGTCTAAACTGAACGTTATATGTATAATAGGAGTGACACAAAAAGTATACATACGTTGTAATCAATTAATATAAGCGGAAGTGTAGTAATTAATTAATTAATATAAGTGGAAGTGTAGCAATTAATCATAATAGCAAATACCCTCTTCTTGGATAAAATCGACCATTTTTTTAGTGAAAACCAAAAAAAAGTTTTTTGAAGGCAGGTCGGACTTAGCCGCAACCAACAAAACAACTACTTCCAAGGTTTTTGGGTGGGGAGGGGGATGGGTAGAGTGAGAAACTTAGAGAGAGAGAGGAGATTGAGTTTAGTGTGAAGAAAATGAGAGGAAGGGGGTGAGTTTATATAGGGCAAGAACCGCGTGTTGGAGGGGCCTTTTGATATTTTTACCCCACCAAAAACCGTGCCTCCAGCACATGATTTACGCTTCCCAACCCGGAAACCGCTCCCTTGCGCAATTGTTAGCAATCCACGACGTGGATCGCTCCGCTGGTAGGTGGTTAGCCGTCAGATCGCAACCCATCGTGCGATTGCATGGACCGCCACGTAGAAGCGCGGTTTGGCAGCTCCCCAATGGCAAACCGCACGTTGCCCGCGCGGTTTGAATAAGAATCGCGCCTTCGAGGCGCGGCTTATGGGGGATGGTGGTAGATTTGGAATGTCTTCGGAATGGGTGGTATTTTTGTAATTGTTTTTAAAACAGCGGTAATTTTGGATTTTTTCTGGTGGTAGGCTTCCATGCCCCCATGCTTCCCCCTGGATGGCTTGTATCCACTAGGCTTCTTGGGCATGGATGGAAATGGTGTGGGGCAAGCTTGTGGTAGCACATCTACAATGAGTGGTCTTTCACCAACTCTCCCAGTGAGGTGTGACCTATGTTTTGAGACGGTTTCTATCATAATTATCTGCACATGCAGTTGCTTCATTTGTGTGATAAATGTGGGATGGAGATTCTCTCCATAACTGCCATGTTGAAGTTATGGTTGACTTGTTATCGGTGGCGGCAAGTTCTCTAGTCGTGAATGGGTATTCCGACCACCGCAAGCTATGAGACTTGTATCCCCAACACTGGTTCCTTAAAATCTTTTTTAATCTCCTTCAAACATATTTGATTTTCCATAAGAGCTTCAAACAACTACCCTAAACTTCTATATAGGATATTACTAAGAGAAGCAAGTTTGAGACTTGTCTAATGTGAACTTCTAACAAGTCCATTCAAACTATCCTCCATGAATTGGAGGTTATGCACCACTATCTTGTGGTTTTCCGCCATGGCATGGCGTTTTTCCTCCATCAACAGACGAAGGGACACCACTGCCTTGCCAAGATCCACACAAGGTGGCGTCATTGGTAGGATCTCCAATCCATCATTGTTCTGACCACCGCCTCTGATACTTGGCCATGTTCAATGTTGACCACCTAATCTTCCACAAAACTAGCCAGAGTTTCACCTTCTTGATTCCTCAGCCTCGGAGCCATAAAATTGAACAGATGTATCCCACCAGGTGTGCCAATTTTTTTCCAGTGAGAAAACTAGAGTTGAACATATGGAATTTGCACCTTTCAATTCTAATCAAAAAATTAAACAACATGGTCCACACCTCTTTGAACAAAGTTCAAACAAGGGTGTTCGATGTTCTTGATGATCTACGAGACAAAGCTAAATTACATTAAATCTACTCCTATAGAGGTTCAGTGAGAGCTCGAAGACTACAACTATGGCTATGACTACATTTGTAGAGGAAAAGATAAAAGGATAAAGCTTGACAATAGGTTGTCTGGGGTTGCAGTATAGTGGCTATACCCCTCGGCACTTCATGGAGTGGCAATATGATGGCCACCCCCTCAGCACTTCATAGGGGTGACAGTATGGTGGCCACCCCTCAGCACATCATGGTGGTGGTAGTATGGTGATCACCCCCTCGACACAACATGAGGGTGGCGGTATGGTGGCCACCCCCCTCGACACATCATGGGAATGCTAGTGCGTCGATCCCCCCCTCACCACGTCATGAGGGTGGGGGTATGGTGTCCACACCTCGGCACTTCATGGGGGTGACAGTATGATGACCACCCCCGTCAGCACATCATGGGGATGGCAGTATGTTGATCACCCCTTCACCACCTCATGGGGGTGATCCAAAGACTTCGCCAAATATTGGAATAGATTGCCCAAAAAAACCAATCGACGTGGCTCATCTTAATTAATTTTAATTTTTATGATTAAGTTGGCCTTATAAAGTCATTTAATTCGATGTATTTAACCGATGTGGTTAAAGTTTGAGTTTTGGTGTAAATATTTGTTTGAGTGAAGTCGAAGGATGGGTGATAGGAGGTGAAATTGTATTATTATATGGATCCAATCACAATATAAAATATAGCCCGGGAAATGGACTACTAGCCCGCAACAAAAAGAACGCCATCAATCCCCTCTGTCGTCATCGTGGAATGGCCCCAAGAATTTTAGTGAGATGTTGGCCCTGCATGCATGGTATGTTGCGGAGTCGGATACAGAGTACATCCATGAGGCCATGAAAAATGATATGCTATGCTATGCCTGACAATCCCTTTCAAGGCTATGGGGAAAGCCGCATATATAAAAAACGGTGATCTGTGCTAATTTTGATGTCATTGGGAAGAACCTTTCCGTTTCCAGCTTTGTCGAGGAGGTTAGAGATGCTTTGAGTGAAACATGAGAGTCTCCATATGTCAAGGCTATCATTTGGGTTCTATATTGTTCGTTTCATAAGCCAGTTTGATTATGAACAAGTGATTGTGGAGGTCCTTCGATGATTTGGTGGCATTATCTAACTATACACCTATGGCAGAAAGATTTTGATCAAAAGTATGTTGAGGTTGCATCAACACTGGTCTGGGATCGTCTACCAAGCCCCCATCCTCACTTTCAAATATCTGAATCCATATCCACCCCAATACCCATGTGGGGAAGGTTTTGCAAACCCATCCTCATACCCTTGGGTTTCAGTTACCCATGAGTAATACTTGCCTCGTACACTCAAGATTATAATACCTAAAATTTTACATCTAATATTTTTAAATATAACACTAAATTCACCTATTATATCATGAAGTCGACAAAGAGACAATCATTCTTAATACAATTCAAATCATCTTATCCTAAAACATCCATTAATCCATAATCATTATTCTCTCACTCTGATACATCAACGAAGTAATACCTAACTAACATAATCTTGTTAACTCGAGGGAAAAGTGAAAGCAAGAAGGGAGAATTGAGGAAAAGGAATTAGGTTTTGATCTGGATGACCACTCAATTAAATTTCTGCTATTTATTTTATTGAGTTACCCTCACTATCATTGATGAGTTACAATTTGATCCTTGTATTTTTTATATGTAAAGGAATTCTCTTGATGGGGAGGGTATGAGTATGGGTATGGGGGCGGGGGAGGCTAAAGCCATACTTGCCCCATACCCATCAAACGTTTTGTGAGTTTTACCCATACCGACTTAATACGGGGATTCCCCACGTCAACTTGTTTCGCGGACGGTTGGATACCCGCGGTTATGGGTTTGATTTTCATCCCTAATTGCGAGGTTGTGGAAAGGATAGTTCAACATATTGGTCGGCTGGTGCGCATGTATTTTGCAACGTAGACGGAAAAATGCACTCAGTTTGCCTAGGTTTGCGTTGAATTTGATTTGATTAAGCCTTTATTAGGTAGCTACCGCATTGAGGGTAGGAAAGACTACATATAGTGTGAAGGCTGACATAATATTTGTACGCAATGCGAAAAATACATACATTCATGGTCGATGTTGTATCGCCCTCCGCCTATTACTATTATGCTTGTCGATGATGGTTTGCCACCCTAAGGCTATATTCGAGACGTCGAGGGAGCATGAACGGGCATATGGCGATTGGATGGTAGGGAAGCCCACAGGAAAGAAGGGTAAACACCAAGGTTGTCAACCCGCGGGTTGACCCGGACCCGGTTGAGCTAGTGGGTCAAGGATTAATGGGTCACCCGTTTTAGCCCGGTTTAGCCCGGAAATATAGAAAGCGTCATTATATTGTACTTATCCTGATAAATTATATCAAATCTTATCTAACGTATGAGTTATAACATATAATATTACACCAAAATAACATTTCGT